TCACCGAATCAAAACGCTCGAGGGAAATTTTAGCGCACGTTGTATTCATGTTTGTTTATTGAGAAACAAAAAAGAAAATGACTTGACCTCGGTACAAAATGAGAAGAAAAAATCCTTTATGTTTACGAGCACCCGATACAAATGCTTCAACAGATTGAATAACTGAAATATGCAGTTAAAACATCTATTTGGCTGCATTTATTTTAAATAATAATAGTAACCAGCCCCTTATTACTGAGAAATGGAAATAAACAAGAGTTACACTTTAATACTGTGCAGCAAATTGACGCTGCAAAAATTTTAACACGCGCTATACAAATGATAATTACAGCACAGTAATGAGATATTAACAAATATATTATCGCGGTGTAAAATGCTTTATAAAAATGGAAACAAATGTAAAAAATATAATTGCAATACTATGGCAAAGGTAAAAAAAAGATGTTGTTTTCAAAATCAGAATATGTATTTATACTGTTTTAGAGAAGTTGCTCTTTGTATATGAACCCGAGGCAAGCATTGGCGATGACGCAGGGAGAGAAAACTATAAACGATTTAAATTTTACCAGGTAAGGCCCATTGAGCTATGTAGCTCTTTTTTTAAAAGCGACCTGGCCACAAATGATAGCTCAACGAAGTGGCTTATCGTGTGGAAATGTATACAAGTAGCCAAATAACTCGAAACGCAAATTGTTTATAAATGTGGAAGGACAAACCGGAGGACCCGGAGAAAAAACCCACGCAACCACGGGGAGAACAAAAAAATATACAGCAGGCCTGAAGTCGGGATCTAACCAACAACCTCCTGTATACCAGGCGAGGTAGCTAACATCTCGCCACCGTGGCGAAAGGGGGGAGTTAGAAACCATCGGTTCGAACATCCTTGATATAGGTCAAGGATGTCCACACGTCCGTTGGATATGGAGCTCTCTCCATTGCGTGTACACGACTGCACAAGCCCGTCTGTCAATCCACCTCTGGATGAGGGCAAGATTTCCCAGGTCGTGGGGAGTTGTGCGACCATACTTCACTACGCTGGTCAGTGTGGGATGGTAAAGGCAGGAAGCGTATACTCGAGAGCATAGAAGTACGTGTACAATATTGGATTTTGAAGCACTGCCACCACAAATCTCCGCCCCGCGTATGTGGATTGTGGTCACCCATCAAAGCACTATCGAAGGTCAACCCGACTTAACTCGGACGCAGTCTTGGTGATTTTGTTATAGGTAACACCATGCACATGGCCTCTACATTGGTATTCCAGCATATAAAGGTATCGCAGTCTTATTACACGGGACGTCTCGTCGAGCTGCAGTGTGTCCCGTAACGTACATGCGAATATAACAATGTCCTGCACGATAAAACTCTAGAGGAACAAAAAACCCCACACCACACTCCCCGTTGCCTCTGCGGGTGGGTTTATTGCACAGGTCTGCACCTGCACCAATGCTCAATCCAGCTGAGATAAGATTGGCAGACCTGTAAAGACGTGCACACACACACTGTTGTGGAGGACGCGAAGAGCCTGTTTGCTCGACAATCACTGCAAACAACAAACCTTGCACCTGACTCTCAGTTCCAGGCACTTCGATTATTTGGCAGGGGGGGGGGACTCCGAGTCCATTTCCTCCTGAAAGGATCATTTGCTAACAGTGAATTAAACAAAGCAAAATCCGATCATTTCTTAACAGTGAATTAAACAAAGCAGAATCCGCTCATTTGTTAACAGTGAATCAAACAAAGCAGAATCCGATCAGCCCAATGAGCAGGCATTTTGTTTTCCCGTGACACACAGGACAGATGTGGCCAGGGCTGATTACAGCTGATCGGTTGGCTTTCCGTTCCATCCCTGACATGATTGGGGGAGTCTAAAGATTACTGATGACGGTGGTGCAGGGGTCGACAACCAAAAAAAATAACAAGAAGAGCCATTTGTTTTCGAATTCGGGAGAGAACAAAAAAAAACCTCGATATTTCAAGAGCCGCAATGCAATGTGAATACGAGACGGTGGCCATTAATAACGGTCACGAAGCAGCAGTCCTTAAAGGGATGCACGCGGCTTCGGAGCCGCTGGTTGCCGACCCCCTGCTGTGGGTAAAACGTGAGCCACGTTACCCAGACAAGTTGATGGAATTTTGGTAGACTCTTGCATAATTATAATCTCATTATCAGCCATGATGAAGGGCTTCCCCTCCCCCCCCCTCCCCCCAAGTCCTTGCCATCTCCCAAGATCCTGAGATTGAATTATCTACCTCTAGTACCACTAGTACCTGCACAAGAGGGGATTTCATCGTTCCATCTCCACAGTAGACATTACTCTCGTCTTCTCCGATTCAATAAGTAATGTTTGGTGGATCAGCAATAATCTTTATAACATAAAGAAGCTATATACACTAACCACAAACTATTGTCATGGTATATTTTATGCTACATTTGAGTAAAAACATATCTCATGGTAAGAATAATACGGCTTTTTTTTACATAGCAATGTAATGATGTAACAGCTCATGAACTGACCTGGGTGCGGTGGTTTACAAACTCTGGAACACACTGGGCTGGAGTGATATGCCTAATTTCCGAAGCCATTGGTGACCCAGACTACTGGACCAGGAACAGCCCCAGGGCACCAAATTTAGGGACAGCACCAAATGTGGCAACTGGATACGACGTTCTGTTTGAAACGAGGTCAAACGTCAATCTAGGAAGCGACATCACATCTAAACACTACATTTGGTTTTGAGAAATAGTCGGCAACTCACCACCGAGCTGAAACAATAACTCGCGCGTTAAACGATGCGTACACGTCATAACTGATTTTTTTCTGGCTGTGTCAGGTGGTGGAGGGTCTTAACGATACAGATTTAGCCGGATCAATATACGAACCTTATGGCGGGACCCCAGGGTGCCATAAGCCCCCGGCTCTCGCATAAACTGCGTTGCGACGTAATTTTATATCTGTTGAAGGCGAACGACACGGCAATCTATTCTTCTCGACGAGCTCTACACGATGCGCGAATCAAAGTTTCACAATTTTTTTCGTCTGCGCATTCGTCCTCGCTGCGCTTGGACGACATGACAACAGAACGATCCGCGCCAGGATGGGTCGCGGCGTTTATGTGCACGGTGGGACGGAGTCGCCAAAAATAAATTAGTTAATTACGATTTTGACTTTCGTTTATTCTGGACCCCGGGATCCCGCCATAAGGTTCATATACATCACTTGCGAATTGGAAGCTGTACTGTCAATGTGAGCTCTTGTGAGGACGTATGCTCTCTCTGGCCCAGTCTGGACCTACGAATGAGCCAGTTCAGTTCCTGTGTGGTCAATTCCACCCGCTGGGCGGTCCGGGCTATTTCCTTTATTTGACCACTTTACAACTACAGCCCGAACAATAGGCAATCTGGTGTCGCACTGGGAGCTGGATTGACGCCCAGACTATTATGATTAATGCGTTGTTAATTTAGGCAAATTCGGCATTTAGAGGGTGTCCCGTGTGTGGAGGTCATTTAAAGGGGAGGGCCTTCCCCCGGAGATGGGACCAGGGCCCACGATCCCCTTAATTTCCAGAGGCGTCTTCACCCTGCCGCTTGTACCAATCCAAGAACAGACCTCGGTGTGTTACGGGTGCGTGGGTATAATTATGCAAATAAACGATGCTTTAACATTTTCTAATAACAAAAATCCGATTCGACCAACTGCTGACTTTAGAACCAAAATGAACACGTATAAATAATTAATGATCCTACAGAAAGCACACTGCAATTTCTTGTGTTTTTTAATTCACTGTAAGGTGTTTTAAAAAGGTATAAAAGGATAACATTGACAAGTGTGCTGCTTTTGGATACCCGAAAATTGTACATTAAGAAAGCGTACACCGATGAGCATGTGTGCTATTAAACAAGCGTTGCGCGCGTGTAATTATGAGTGAATAATATTGCTCTGTGGCCTGTCATCCCCTAGATACTCCACTCATGCCCCCCACCCATAGTTAAACGCTACTGCTTTCAAAGATTGCCCCCGCATTATTGATCAACACACATACTCTTTAGCCCTGTGGGAGGCAATGCGGTTCAATTACTGTAATTTACAGCACTTCCAGAGTCCGTTAATCAACCGCCACTGTTAAGCTGGCTTACGATACGTTGCCTCCATTTCACTTTTCAAGCATAAATTACCGTGCGCGCATAGCATACATTCAAACACCATTACAGCTCCGTCATGGCTTTCCTTTGACACGTGTGCATGGGAGCACATGTGTGAGTGTATAAATGGAGAACACAAACAGCTCTTCGATACATGGTATTAAATATGAAGCAATATTGTATACATATACATACTCTTTGGGCCTTTCGGTAAAGTCACGTAGATAGATAAATAATAATAATAAAAAAAATCACGTTTCGATCGCAACACAAGCAATCGTCTTCACCTATCTATCTACGTGACCCAAAGAGTATGAATTCCTGCAGTCACGAAAGCTTTAAGTCAAGATTTATACATATACAGTTTTAAAAAAACATTGCGAAAAGTCCAAACGAATAACAACAATGTCTCTGCTAATTAAAATAACTTAATGTGCGAACATTACGTTACAATGCAATGCAATTTGCATTCATATAGCATAGAAATGGGTGCGACACATTCGGGCAGGTTGTATGTGGTAGGGAAATGTGTGGATACTCCTAACCTCTTCTAAGACCTCTTTCTGGCCAGCTTGAAAGAGTAGGCCAAACACTCTCTCGGGTGGGCTCTCTGGAGCCCCCCCTCCAGTGGAGGCCCTTCCACTAGCAGTGGCAGCAGCCGAGTAATTGCAGGGCTGATTGTTTTACTTTGAGAGGTGGAGCTATTCTGGACGTTCGCACTAGACACCCCCTTCGGGCCAAAAATAAGCCCTCTCCTATTCTTGGTTCTTTCGGTAAAGTCACGTAGAAGGGAAACAATAAAATAAAAAAAAACAATATATAAAACAATACAAATGTTATTATTTTATTGTTTCCCTTCTACGTGACTTTACCGAAAGAACCAAGAATATGAATCCCTGCAGTCACGAAGGCTTCAAATAAAAATTTAAGCCCTCTCCTCTTCCTTTTCCGCAAGAGACATAGAAGAAGCGTCCGTGACATCAGAGGGTGCGCGGTGGTGTAACACGCGGGGGGGGGGGGGGGTTATACGTCAGTCACTGCCACATGTTGGGTCTTTACGCTTGTGAAGGCCATTGAGTGGAAAATTAAAATTATGCGTGTGGCTTAAGCATTCCCAATCATTTCCCAAATCACACTGCTACGCCTAGGCAATAATGGCACCTCTATCTCCTCTGCGCAAGACACACATCACGTACATAACACGCAGTTTTGTAAATCCCACACCATTATAAGAAAATAAACCCATGTCCAGTAATTAGTGCATATTCTGTTTGTGGTAATTTCAAATGAGTGATGTGTGTAAAAGCTGCGGGTAGCACCTGGAGACCGTTTTTTTTATTACATTTAGCATTTGTCTATGAAACGTGTTATTTGCAAGATATTTAAAGGGACATTGAGAGAGCAACAAAAACCGTTCGGTTTTTTTTCTTCAAACATTTGAACGCACCCTCATCACCCATCAAAGAAAGTTACAGATCTTGGTTGTTTGCAAGTGGTGTACTTGCCTACCTACCTGCTTTTAACAGGAATGTTTACTTTTGAATGCAGCTCATGTTAAAATGGGGAGTGGACGATTATTGTCTTTGAAAGGACGAAAGTCCTGAGTTTTAAACTCACCCAGATCTTCCATATACGAAATACATAATTTAGCAGTCTACATTTTTGACAGATTACCATAGGAAAATACCGTTATAACGCTTTAAACAAAACGAGCTAAATTAATTGGCGGCAGGGAAACGCACTGGTGACACTTGTGCCTTGGAGCAAGACAGGGCCTGCGATCGAATCCCGACTCTGGGCGTCTTTCTGTGTGGAGTTTGTATGCTCTCCCCCCTGCTCTGCGTGGGTTTCCCCTGGGTTCTCCTCGTTTCATCCAACAGCAATGAAAGAAAAAGGCAAACGCACGTTACCGTATTGGACAAATATCCCAGTGCTGAAGAACTGCATGCACGTTTACTAATTTGGGATTACACACAGAGCAACATTGCCTCAACTGCAAAAACTTGACCAGACCCTCTTAACAAAAATCTTGGGACTCAGTGAGGCTTTCCTGGGTAAACGACAAGTTTCGAAAAAAAGGATGTAATTAGATCGAGAACTCCAAATTCGTTTACCCCCTCGATGCAACGGTCAAACAATCTTAAAAGAAGTAAGCTGCAAAGCTAAACATATTATTCCACAAAAATTACATATGTTGCTGCCTGCAGAAAGTGTCCTATTTGGATATAACAAGCATGACTAGAGGCACTAGTGGGCCTTATCCCAGGTCCATATCCACTTGCCCGCTCCCTCTTTTCGATTAATAACGCCCGACCGCTGCTCAGGTATTCGTGGTTGTATTGTTGTTTTGTGCTCGCTAACAGCACTTGCCCCAACAGTCTGCTGAGGCTATTCGGGGGGGATCTTTGTCTTTGTTGTGCAGCTCTCCGACGTCTTTCCCGCCAGCACGTCGGACGGAAGCGGCGGACGTCCGTGCCGAGAAACACGTGGCACAACCACCCAAAAGCGCATCTACGTGGCTGCCTGCGGTTCAGCAGGCTTCGTCAGTAGAGGAGGGAGGGGGGGGGAGACATCACAGTGGGACGGGCGAGGCTTTGGTGCCACCTTCCTCTACACAGCGGGCCCGGGGTGAGGTGTCACCGTTGGGAGAGAAGCGACGCAATCCCGCACCGGGGTGTCGCATCACCACTGCCCCGGGGCCCACTGCCCCTCTCAAGCGATGCGAATGGTGAGGCTCTCCAGCTCCTCTTCCTCGCTGCTCTCCTCCGAGCCGCTCACCAGGTATTTTTTCTTTCCTCCGTAGCCACCTTTGTTGTCGTAGTGATCGTGGTTATCAATGTCACAATCGTCGTCGTTGACGTCATCTTCGTAGCCGTTTTCGTCGTCGTTTTCGTTATAGTCGTCGTCGTCGTCGTCATCGTCGTCGATGCTCTGATTCTCGGGAGGCGTTGGAAACACCTGCGACAAAAACAAAAAAACGACAAGTTCGAGATGAGTTGATATGAATACTACTCTGCCGAAAGCCAGTGTCTGTACGACCGTTCAGAGTGTGACCACTTTGTAATGGAATGGTCGTCGGATTGGTCAGGCCTTGTGTCACAGAAGCGTATCACCTGTCGTAGGGGAGGTTAAATGGGCAATAAGTGAATTCGGTACCACCGACACAATTGTTAGAGATGTGAAAAATCTTCTAACACTGGTTCCTACTGTGAACCAATAAACGTCTTTTCATGGCCAATGCGTCATCAACTTCATGCACCACTTCAAGATATAAACGCATTGCACCAGTAATTTATGACATTATTAACAGCATTACCACTTCTGTGAATAACAACAGCAAAGTAACGGTTTATGATTGAATAAAACGATTACAGATGTATTTTCCGGGCTACACGATGCGACACAGAAAACCGAACACAACGCTCCCATTTGGCATTACATAAGCTGCCCTATTTTGCTTGCAGAGTCACGGATGTAATTTTGCTCCGAGACCTTCCCTCTCTCGCCGGAATCCCGAGCGAGCTCAGGCTCCCCCCAGACCCACACCGATACCGTATTTTGTGCGTCGAACATTGGGTCAAGGGCCACCTGCGCCACGGAACCACCGACGCTCAGCTGCGTTCGACCGCTCGCTCTACGGACAAAGGGGATCGCGATCACCCCGCCGAGCGTCGCCGTTGCCCGTCGCGGTCAGGCCCCATGGTGAACGCCACTCTCACCTCCATTAATTTGACATTGCGGGGGGTGTTCTCACATTGAGAACACCTTTAAAGCATGTAATTTAACAATAATACTCATGTTGTGTGTTTATCCGGCGCTCGGTCCCACTGAGAATGCTGCTCTCTCGCCTTTCAAAAGCTTCAAGAGTGTAGGGGGCGTACATAGCTATCGAGTGCGCAGGCGGTGCAACTGCACCAGGGCCGAGGGGCCGGAAGGGTGCAGGTACCGGGCAAGAGGACAGGACCCCATTTCATTCCTGGTTGCAGGGCACATGCCAACCACGCCACTGAATGCAGGAGTCTTATTTTAGCACAAAGCACATTCCATAAACAATCATTTAATAATAATTACATCGTGTATTTATCCAGGGAAAATGAGTTTCGAGACCTTTTCAGGAGGAGGGTCCTGCATTGGAATATTTGGCTAATGCCCTTTTGATGGGTGTATTGTACAGTCCAGGTGGATCTGAAATCTGTCACAAATCTCTGTGCTGGATTACAGGCTTGCACCACCATGCCCAGCTGTTATGTTTGTAGAACATTCCAGAATATCGCACACACACACAGCGTGAAGTTGTGAAAACGTGTTTTAATGTATGATTCATTACCAATGCATACATGTTTGTGAAAACCAGAAAAATTTAGAATATATTTTTGAATAAAATCAAGAAATGTACATTTAAGCCACCTTGTAATTTTAGGTAACAACATCGTTCATGTAGAATCACTCTCCTAACATTTTCTGGATGGACATGAGCCAAACATTTTTATGACTGAATGTTTTTTTCCCTAATATCACAGTTTACATTCAGAAAATCCTGGTAATAACGATGTAATTAATTGGCATTATAGTTTGTAACAACAATATATATATTTTTATTCGACGAATTGAGTTCTAATCCTGGCCAAGGTTAACATCAGTGGCGAGCGATTCCTGAACCAATCCTGTCCCGATTATTTACCATCTCACACGAACCGACGGTGGTGAAGTATGGTCAAATAACCCCCCCCCCCCGAGTGACTGGTGCAGTTTGAGAAGGCCGACACAGCTCATTAATTGGCAAAGCGCTGTCATTTAAGATTGTTATTTCATTATTCCAGTACATGTAATGGAACCTAAAGCAACAAACAGTATAACACCCACACACTTCTTCTCACATTCATAATCATTTCACTCTGGTACAGTGTAATCAATCCGTACACAGAAAACGGAAAGCCAATCTTACGTAGAACAAGGCAGACTCGCGGCTATTAGCGCACTAAAAATATTGAATGCAGACATGGGTGGGTAGGTGGGACCATGCATTCAATAAGACCGCCCGTGACTGCAGACCACAGAGAGACCTTCATCCTACGGCATTGTGCAATGCACACCGATGAATAACAATGGCGATGCTATGGGAGCGACTGTTATTTACCGACTCCCCCGCCGTCGCACGCACTCGCAATTTCCCCCACGCCAACGGGCGAACTCTCTGCTCCCAACAATAAAGGGCACAACAACAATAACAACAACAACAACAACAAAAATAAAGCAACATAACCCGAGCAAAATAAAGACGGTTTGAGTTTTGGCGTCGTCGTCGAGAGTCCAACAAGAGTCGTGGGAATTCTTTTCCCCTCCCTCCTCATTCTTCGTTTCATATTTCAGTCACGCCGCCCCCCCCCACCACCACCCCACGGCTCTCCCCACCGCTTCCCAACACACCCCCCCCCCTCCGCCTCCTCTCTCAATTTCCCCCCCAAAAAACACACGGAGACTGAGATGTGTCACTCGCGTCAGGAACACAAACAGGAGGAATAAATGAGGCGGACACGCACTCGGACAACGCGACAAAACATCCACCCCATCCCGCGTCGTCCTAAAGGGGCTGTTGGAGCGAGTGCTGTTAGCGAGTGGCACTGGCAAAGGCACACGACGGAATCGGTGGTCCGGCACCACGCCCGGCCGCCTTTGTCTCCCGCCGGTGGCGATGTTTACCACACACCGCACCGGGTGCTCATTTGAGGCCGAGTCCACCTAGGGGAGGCCTAGGACAGGTTCAGGCAATCGTCACCGGTGTTGGCCGCGAGCGGGAATCGAACTCGGGTTTCCTAGGTTCATAGCGCAGTGCAAGAGCCACCGCACTCACACTCCCCGCAGATATGCACACACACACACACAAACATATGCAGACAAACGAGTACTCTTCGGAATCCATATACAAATGTGCACAGACAACAGCACATGCGCATCCGATGATCACGGTTGGCTACGTACGGTGCGAAAGTTGAGCATGCGTACATACAACACGTAAACATCCGCAGGGATTAACCAGTGGACAGGAGCAGGCACATAAACAGATGCACACTGACACAACGCAACATTACAGTGCGATGCAATTTGCCTTTTACGCGGCATCAAAATACAAATGCATTTGCAGACGTTGTACATGCCCGTGACAGGTCAGCGAGGGTAATTTATTGCCTGCAATGGGAAGCCACTAGGGTATACGGCAGCGCAATGGTAACACTTGTGCCTCAAAGCGAGAATGCCCTGGGTTCCAGTCGCGATTCGGGTGCCTTTTTGTGCTGAATGTGTACATTCTCCCCCAGTTCTGCATGATATTCCTCTGGGCTCTCTGGCTTCCTCCCACAGCTAATCTGGCACTGGTCAAACACTCCAACGCTTAAAGATTGCCTGGAAAATATTACTCAATTGGGATTACATATAGCAACGTCGCCCTCCACTGTGAAACCTGGGCAGGACCCTCCTGATCAATTCCCCATTCATTCAATCCATTCATGGTCATTTATTGTCATCAATTTCACCTTCACCGAATTCACCCATCACAGAATCGCCCCATTGCTTCCTCTCATCTATTTTATTCACCTAATCTCCACCATTACATTCACATATTGTACTGTTCTTAATTCTCTGTAAATCTCCTTGGTTAAGGTGCTTTATATATTAAGCTAAGATAAGGGAGGTAAACAATAATAATATACATACAGTATGGTACAAAGACAATGATCCCCCATATAGCCTTAACAGACTGTAGGGGCAAGTGCTGTTAGCGAGCACCTATGAAGGCCGGAACAGCACACGAAGGGGGTGGGTGGCCAGCACCACGCCTGACCGCCTTTGTCTCCCCAGTGGCGATGTTTACACACCGCATCAGGTACTCATTTGAGGCTGAGTTGACCTAGGGGAGGCCCGGGACCGGTTCAGACAATCGTTACTGGTGTTGGCCGTGAGCAGGAATCGAACCCAGGTAGCCAGGTTTATAGCGCAGCGCGCTAACTGCTACACTACCGCTCCCATACCAAGACACACACATGGTACATGAATGTAACATTACTAGTAATTGACAAGTAGGAAGCTTATGGCTTGAGCAAGAGTACAGAAGATGAAGAATAATGATGGAGCGGCCTCCAATGAATGGAACGCATCCAAGAGCACAACCGCAAAGGAGATGGAGCAATGAAATCAACTCGTCTACAGGTGCTAGGTTTACCATCATTTCTCAGGATTGCGAGAGGCCTGATTGGCGAGGCCTTCATCCAGCAGTGGACTGACCATGACTAATGATGATTAGAACTGTTATATATAAAACAAAAGAAAACAATTACGTTTGACTAGAACGTTCGTGAAACTGGATCAGTCTGTCCACCCTGAAAATCCAGCCATGCTTTTTCCATAGACCATGACCTCGGGAGTCATGCGTCTTGGCCACAGCACTGGATGAAGAGACAATTCGCTAAACACTTTTAGAGCCTCCGCAAGGGCAACAGATCAATGTGGATGCACAGCAATTTGGAATTATAAGCACATAAAGCACATTTTCCGAGCCTATTCCCCTCGGCTAGAGTGGGAAAGAAAGTCGGAATGTATTATGTATTATGAGTACTCTGCTTCCCATGCTTGCGGTCAGCATAAGCAGATTAGTGTAATGCCGACCCAGAACAATTTAACCCATTGTGCACGAGTGTAGCATCACTCAACATATTTTGCATCCTAAAATATTAAATATCATGTGAAGAGATTTTCTTATGGGGGAAAAAAAACCCCCAGCTCTCGATATTTTAATACAATTCTATAAGCTGTGCAAGATTTTCTTCAAAAAGATTACCAGAAGATGTTTTGAGCTTAATAATGAATTGTTTTGTTAAATGCACGAAATATTGGTATCTAAATGGTATATTCCTCATCCACCAGTGGATGGAGAATGATTGGCGATGATGACAACAAAAATCCAA